TTATTTAATTAAATTATTAAATTTAATTAATTATCTGGAACTGGCCCATGTGGTGTCACGTTGAGCACTTGGAGAACCTTGGGCAGGAGCTGAACACCCGCAACTGTGTGAACGCAAACATGGATATAAATAATATGATCTGCATTCTTCATGCTGTTTTTCCTCCTCAGCCACGATTCTGGGTTTTGCACATGGCTGTTCTGAAGTGTGGAACTTCTGACTGGTTCCTGTGTAAAACAGCAGCACTTGGCGGGATCGGAGCCTGTCATTTGTTGGTGTTCCCAATTTGTGCTTCAGCCCGTGCCTTGGAAGGCTTTGGTGAGCCACGTTACACGTTTTATGGATGTACACCTTCGTGGCTTTGACAGCTAGACTTCATTTCATTTACATTTTATCATTGCCTAGGTTTTCAGCTCGTGGCACCCATTTTCAGGTTTCAGATGCACTACCAGATATTTGTCCGTAGTACATAAAAAAATCTGAATTCTGAATAAACAAAATATGATCCAACATCATTTTTCGAAGTGTAAGTATTAGCAAAGCACAGGAACAAGGGATTGGTCCTAGACTTTGATTCGGAAGAGTGAAAGATTTTGAAGTGTCTGCATTTATGCCACAAATTCCCTGGTGCTTGTACTGTCCTGGGAGAGCAGGGGTTAAAAGCCGTTTGGAAGTTAACGTGCTCTAGGGGTATAAAAGAAGCCTCCATGGCTTTAGTTCCTAAAATCATGTTTGGAAATGCACTGTATCTGTCCTAAGAAAGCTCTTCTTAGGAGACAAACTTCTCGCATGTTAAATGAGGTAAGTGCACAGACGATCTCTGTATTTCATTCAGCGTTTTGCAAGGAATTGTAACCATTACGGTACCACCAGCAATAAAAGATAAACGACATGTACTAGCACTGCGTGTTTGCATTTTTGCCGTTTACTCTTCAGACTGCTGCGGTGGTTAAATTCAGCAAACCAAGATTCAGAGCGTGAGTCTTTTTCTCAGGCAGGGCGTAAATAGCCGTTTTGGCACCACCGCTAAAGAGATGGGGGTCAAAGGACAGTACAGACTGTCCAGTGCTGTAAAATACCACTTTACTGCTTTGTTTAATAAATGACTTTCTTTGATTAAATAGCTGACAGCTTCTAAGTACAGGAGTAATACAGTTGAGTGTTTAAGTAAACAGTCTCTCTGTATTAACTCACTGTAAGGTTCAGCAAATCTGTATGTATAAGTTGAAACATACAGAGCAACATTTGTAGGAAATATATTCCTGGCAGAATTTGTCTAGATAAATCCTATGTTTAGCTTTGTTTTCGTAGACCTATGGTCTATCAGCCTGGGTTATAAAGCCTCTCGAGGCACGAGCCAAGCACTCTCTCAGTCGCTGGAGTATAACCTTAATAAAAAGGTATTCTTCAATAAACATTCTTTATTCCCTTGCAATGTAATATTTTTATATTTATATCACATGTTGGATACTAATTGCAAGTAGTTCTGTCATTTACAGCAGTAAAACTTATTTTCTGTTGTTGAGACCTTCTATTCAAAGTGCTTTGATCCTCACCATGGAAGGTATGGCTGATCTTTGGCTTCAGTTTCAGAAGCCTGGCTGAATGCTTTTGGACATGGAAGAAGTTAAGTTGTTGACTAAGGCTTTTTCAGGGGGAGAACACAGCTCTTGTCCCATTGTGGTTTTTAACAAGATTGCAGAACCTCTTTTTAATAAGAGATTGCAGAAGTTAGAAGGGTCGTCACTGGCAAGTTGTTCCCGTGTGTTAGAGGTCCGTGTTAGCAGATCCAGAGATAGAACTAGAGCCAGGAATATTAGGTAAGTCAGTCGTGGATAAATTGCACTTTAATTTCAGCTAGTGTTCCTTCTAATCACTGTTCTTCAGATATTATAAAACAAAAAATGTCATACAAGCAACAACAGGCTTTGAGGAACTTAGCTGTTCTTGGTGTGCTTTAGATGAAAATACTTGATGTTTCAGCATTATGTGTTGATCTAGAGCCAAGATATGATTCATATTTTACTGGTTTTGCTCACTTTAAATCATTCTGCCCTTGTATACTGTAATGTTTATGTAACTTCAGACATACATGAGTATACTTGTTACCCCTAGTTTACAGTTCAAAAATCCTGGAGATATGTAAGTGCATTATTAAAGTTTACATTTAAAAAGTCTTTGCATACTGTCCTTAGTACAAGATTTACCTATACACCATACTTTAATAGAGATTGCCTGAAGAAGTTAACTTTTGAACTGTGTAACAGTACCATTAACAGACTTGAGATATTACTAAATATGGTAAATGGGGGGGGAGGGCTCCACGAGAGGGAGGAGTGTCAGGTTAGCAACTCCCTGCCTCGCAACGGGAGTCAAAAACTGTTAGAGAAATGTTAATTTGCTTTCATTCACATCTGACCTAAACAGGCTTAAAGAATTTCCTATTAAAAAGATTTTTTTTTTCCCCAGAGGCAAAAGTTTTACTTTATTATTATTCTCTGTTTTGCTTTCAGCAATTCTTAGAGCTGCTGAAAAGCATGACTTCCTCTTCTGTTGTTGATAAACCTCCGGTAAGACGGGTTGCTATCTTCGGGGGAACTCATGGCAATGAGTTATCAGGGGTATTTTTGGTCAAGCACTGGCAAGAGAATGGAGCTGAGATTCAAAGACCAGGAATGGAAGTGAAACCCTTTCTTACCAACCCAAGAGCTGTGAAGAAGTGTACTAGATACATTGACTGTGATCTGAACCGTGTTTTTGACCCTGATAATCTTGGGTAAGAATAGTTGTACTTTCTGTTCCTTTACTTTTCTGTTTTTTAACATTGTAAGGAGTTTCCTTTCCAGATTAAAATGTTACCAGAAGTTCCACTACTATTTTAACTGTGCAGTCACATAACTGAAATTACTGACCTTTAACCCAAAAAGAACAAATTGCGTGAGTGTTAACAGATTCATTTTGAAACTATTGCTGGTAGAACGAGTCTTAAACCAACACATAATTGTAAACACGGCATTTTAAAGTAGTTGTAGATTAGCTGTGTTTGTGTAAACTTAAGTATTGCTGTTCTGAGTTGCAAAGTCATTATTTCTCACATGTTGTCTTGTGCAATTCAGCTTTGAAGCTTTTCTGAATAAAATTATACTTGCAGGAAGATACCAGATAAAAGCAATTTAAAGGTAGATACCTGAGTATCTGAAAGAATGGCAAACAAATCAGGGAAGTGTAGTTAATTTCAGTTATATACAGTAAAAGGTGAAAACTTGAAATTAGTAAGTTAGAAATAATGTATTCTGTGGCAAAATGATAGCCAGAAAGTCTCAATGATTTCAGTGACTCATTGTTTTAGAAGAAATACAATCTATAATTACTGTAAAACAGTAATTGATTTGACATTTTTAATGGGATTTTATGTTTCTCTGCTTTTGAGACATCTATTCCAGACGTGTACTTTGCTGCATAAACATTCTTATGCTTGGTGTAGTTGCATGCTAAACAGGTAATTATGTTTCAGAAAGGCCTTAATGGTAAAGGTGAATATCACTGAAAGAAATATGTATCACATATTTTGTAAGCATGGTTATTCTTACCCTTAACATCTTTTCGTCTGGCTTTTCATCTTAGAATTTTGTTGTTTATTATTATATATGAGATAAACAGACTTTTTAACACATAAGTATTGAGACCGTTCTTTTAATTGCTTACTTAGGAAAAACGTATACAAAAAAAAATGGGTTTGTTTGTTTTCAGCTGCTTTGAACATAGAACACTTGAAAAAACAGCAGATTAAGACACCTGCAGGTTGTCTTCATTTTTTTTTTAACTAATATTCCTCAGTAAATCCTATTAAATCGTCCAGTCCTATTGCAACACTGCTGACTGTTTGGAATACCTTCATGTGATCCTTTTAAGAGTAGACCCCGCAAGATTACAAATGATTTCACAAAATAAGATAAAGGAGAGTGAAATCCTGATCCTACTGAAGGTAATTCTGGGAGTCCCATTGGCTTCAATAAGGAGTATTAACAGCCTTATGTGATGAAACCTTGAATTTCAAAGACAGAACTAAAGAATCCAAAGGTACATTATGTGATCTACAGAATCATAAAAATGGAAAAAAGGCGCTTGAGGGGCTCACATAAAAATTCTAATCCACCTCACGTCCCACCAGTAGATCAACTGCATGTAGACATTCCTAACAGATTATGCGTTGCCATTTCTAATACTCCAGGAGTGGTGATCCCATAATTTTCCTCAGCACTCCTTCTGATGCTTAAATATCCATGCAGTTAGTAAGGCGTTCTGTTAATATTTAACAAAACTTTTGTTATTCAACTTAATACCAGTATTTCTTCCAAAATTAAAGCATTAAAAAGCTTGAGCTGTACTGAGAAAGAAAACAGAATTTAGCGCAAAAGATACTTGGCGTGTCTATGGGGTACTTGGGTAGCATCCCAAGGCTGTCACTGAAACCAGATTTGCTGTCTATGCGGGAGAAGTCGGCACCTACGGCAGCTTTGTGCGCTGTTCATACGCAAGACAGGTGTCTCTGTGCCATCCGGCAGTTTCCTATAGAACCCCTACACAGCCAGGAAGCACATCTCAGACCTGCCCTTCGGCTAAGACCTTTTCTTTAAAGTGTAGTACAGACAGAGTCACCTGAGGTTACAAAGTATGAAGACTTTGGAAGAAAAGATTTGAGGTAGCAAAATCTTCTATGAGCTTTGAGAGTCAGGAGAGCTCAAAACAATAGACTCCAAAAGTCTGAACAGAGTATGAGAAGACGAGAAACAAAGCTAGTTACGAAAGACCTTGTGAGTGGTGTCCAGGGTAAAAGGGCACGGACCGATATCTGAATATCATCTTCAGTAGGAGGTGGATCCAGTCTCGGAAGTGGTTTAAGTTGTTGGTGACTTTTGAGTTATTTTCTGCATAAGGCAGAATTTTGGGATGTAAAGAAGTAAGAGAGATGTAAATAGTCTCCAGCTAAAATCAGACAGAAAAATTCTTACTACCCTTCTGCACAAGATACATAATAGTAAGACCTGTGTAACAATCATATTTGCTTTTTTCAAGCACAAATTCAAGTTTTAACAGTTTGCTAACTAAATAGGTGATTTCAACTCCAGTCAATTACGGAATTAAAGTAAAAAGGAAAGGCTATACATATTTTGTTGACTGTAAAGCCATGGAATGAGTTTACTAATTTCTTTGTACTGATATTAACAGCAGGACAGTGGTGGAAGATATTCCATATGAAGTGAGAAGGGCTCAGGAAATCAATCATATATTTGGCCCAAAAGGTAGTGATGATGCGTATGACCTTATTTTTGACCTTCACAACACCACTTCTAACATGGGTGGTACCCTTATTCTTGAAAACTCCAGGGATGACTTTACAATTCAAATGTTTCATTATATCAAGGTAAAACTAATTTAAATGAACTATTAAAATAGATTATTAGTTGTAATGTTGTATTACTATGTATTATTTTGTAGTTTCTTTAAATATACTATTTTTATTCTGCAAAAATGTTTAAAATATTTAATCACTCATAGGAATTTTTTTAATCAGAGATAATTAATAATTTGATTATAATATCAGGTAATTCAAATTTGAACTCATAATCTTCATGTATTAAAATGAGCGTTAGTAAGACTGATGGGCAAAGAGGAATGCTTAGAATAACATCTATGAAAATGAATGTAATTTAATCTGCTTTCACACTGGTCTGTCAGGAACTTGGATAAATCTGGGTCACACTTGCTAAATAGTTAAACATTAATTTTATGAAATAGAGACACGTGAGAAATAATGGAACTAGGTAATGACAAATGTTCCCTTCATCAGTACTTATAGGAACAGGGATATGTCTTTAGAAGCTGTTTTATTCTGCTGTTCCTGAAGCTGATGAGTATTGGTAGAGCGAGGTTTACAAAAATGCTGGCTTAAGCATAATCTGGTTGAAGTACAAGTGACCTAGACAATGACTGATGAAATTGAGATGAGGCCAACAGTGTGGAATTTTAATTTTTTTTTTCCTTAGAAACAAGCTATATTTTAACATTTGGGGTTTTTTTTCATTACATATATCCAGTTAAGTGTTTATAAAATATTTGAAAATATAGAAAGCTTATGACTAAAATGAAGAGCAATGGTAGGCAGCCATCAGGAAAGAGGCCTGAAATAGGTTTCTGTGTCAAAAAAAAGGTTGAAAAAAGGCTTCATTCACAATCTATGTCCCCATAAAAGAATCAAAGTCTAACCAAAAAATACTTGAAATCTACTTTACAGTATTTTGCTTCTAAGTTTTGGAACACTGATAAGTAGCTTTTTCTTCCTGTTAGCAATTTAAGACTAGAACTGAGCTCGGTTATATTAGGAGACAGCAAAGTTCAGTGGAGCATGCCTGGCATGAGTTAGTGGAAGGGAGACCAACAAATACGGCTTTGTGCGTTTTCTAAAGATGTCCTACTTCTTTGAGGGCCATGAAATAAAGGCAACATATTGAAGACATTGTGTAAATCACTTCTGCATCAGTAATCTTTTGTGGCACAACATTTTAAAATATTTGCATAACAAAGACATTTTTAAACAATTTCCACAGAACGCTCTGGCTCCAGAACGCTGTCCTGTTTTGCTGATTGAACATCCTAGCTTGAAATACGCAACTACTCGATCTGTAGCAAAACATCCTGTTGGTAAATATGAAAAATGAAGACTACTTTAACCCACCATAAATTATTTTAAAATATGCCTGTTTCCAGATCTGTTAATTTCATTATGTTACAGAGTGCTGTGATCACCAGGAGCTATTTGTTTGACAATATATTTACTGAATCCGATGTATATAATTATCTCTTCTTCTGAAGAGTTCTCATTTATACTTGGCTTACAAAATAGAAAAGCCAGATGGAAATTCTTAAACTCAGTTAACCCACTGTTTGCAGAAAATATCTATAATACGTGAGGATAAGGAAGAAGTAACAGCTTCAGAAAATAAATGTTTGCGTCCTCTAAATAAGCCTTGGCTGAAACGCTAGTTGTTAGCCAAGAAGAGCAAAAGAGAAGATGTGATAAAAGAAGGGGAAGATGACGTGGTTAATTTTTTCATTTATGGAATCAAAACTATAACCATAGAACAAAAAATCATTAGTTTGCTTTTCATGTTAAACAATGAGTTCTCCAAAACGCAGCATGGAAAGAGGCTGAGGAAGAGTAAGAGAAACGAATATATATGGTGATCCTTTCTCTTACCCTAGTAGCACACTCAAAAATGTACATACGGTTCTTTAAACTGATCCTGACTGGTGAGCTACATTTTCTGCTTGCCTTAAAAATCACATAACTGTGTTTTACAATTCTTTTTAAACATAAACCACAGACCCAATCAGACATCTGGTTTTGCTGTGTAATCTGTGTGATCTATTATAATGGAATATTATCTATTAATATTCTCCCTTGTCTGCAAACAGGTGTGGAGGTGGGTCCCCAGCCACAAGGTGTTGTTAGAGCTGATACTTTGGACAAAATGAGGAGGATTATCAAACATGGCCTTGATTTTGTGGAACTTTTTAATGAAGGTAGAGTAAGTAATGAGAGAATACAGCCTCATGTGTCACATCAGTGGACAATTTCAGCAGAATGTTTTTTAAAAAAATCGGTTGGGCTACAACATTTTACAGTTAAACAGGTAAAAGTGAGGGGAAGCATTGTTATCTCACCACCTAAGTGTGGCGTCAGAAAGTCAGAATTCCTGTATAGCTCCTTTGTGTAGCTTTAAGATATTTCTTCTTTCTGAAGATTCAGTAAGTATACTTGATCTTAATCTTACAGTTGCTTTGAGAATGTGAAATACTAGCTAACAATATAGTAGTATAGTACATGGAGAACATACATAATACTAAGAAAGAAGTGTTTGATTTACATGCCTTCTGTGTTACCTAAAATTAAAGTCAATAAATTTTGTAAGATTTTATTGTACTGTGTACTACCTAAAATACATACTGACAAAACTAGGTGTTTAAAATTCTTTTAGAGTACAATTTGTCAGTGGGCTTTTTTTGGAAGTAGAAGGCAAAGAATATAGTTGTGCATGTCACAATCTCCATTATTGTGCTGGAATGGTGAAGATTAAATAGGACTGATACCATTCTATCTTGTGCAGCACAATCAAACACAGGCCTTCGATTTCTTCATCTACAAAATAGATCTCTTTATGTATACAGTGAAAAGTCATGTTTCAGCACCAAATTTAGATCTGGGCTTCATATGCTACAGTACATGACTGGATAATCTTTCTCAACTTGGCTCCAAGGGGACAAAAAAATCTGGAGCTAGACGGTTTTTTATGCAATATGAGCTAATCACTAGTGTGTAAACTTTGTTGAGGTACAACCTAATGATTTAAGGCATTCTAAATAGAATAAATGTTGAATTGTTCTTTTTAACAGGCAGTTGTTCATTCTGAGATTAAATCACATTTGTTCTTTCTAGGAAAGGAATTTCCACCATGTACAATTGAGGTTTTTAAAATAATGGAGAAAGTAGATTATCCCAGGAATAAGAATGATGAAGTTATTGCTATTATTCACCCTAAACTGCAGGTAAATTCTAAAATAGTTTCCATTTGTGACATTTTATAAGTATTCCTGTGTTGCTTCTGCTACACTGTAGTATATTTTAATAGTAGATATTTAAACTGACAATATTACCAAGGGGTTTATTGAATGCTTTAGACCTTCCCTATAGTAAGTTTTGTCACTAAGGTCATACAGTATTTCAGCAACTGACTTGGAAATCACAGAATATAACATCACTTTAAAACCAAGAAAAAGGCAATAAGATAGCTTATATTCTAAAATATAAACCTAATTTTGAGTTCTAAAATGAGGGTCTATTTTTAATCAATTGTGAGCATATACAGTTTCCTTTTAGTTCACCTTTACCAGTGAATTCTATACAAGCCTGAAAACAAGGGCCAGAAACCTGAACTTTCACACTGAAGATTAAAAGGAATTCTTTTAAAAGGTTTTGCCATAAACTGGAGAGAATATAATTATTGAGCATAAACTCTGAAATCACATGAAATATACAAAAACTTGAAAGTAAATATTTTCTTTTTCTTTCTCTAAGGATCAAGACTGGCAGCCACTGAACGATGGTGATCCTCTATTTTTGACTCTTGATGGAGAAGTAATTGCATATAAAGGGGACTGTACAGTCTATCCCACATTTATTAACGAAGCTGCATATTATGAAAAGAAGCAAGCTTTTGTAAAAACAGTAAAGATGAAACTCACTGCAAAACACATCAGATCCTCAGTCTTAGATGAGAACACTTCTTAAAAGCTTATTAGAGAATTTCAATATAAAAAGTGGATTTCTTCTCTGTGAAATTCAGTGTCACTCGGTAGTAAGTCATGGAATAAATAAATGCAGAATCTAATTTTAAATTGCAATTTAATTAACATTGCTGAGCACTTTTAAGATGAAACATACTGTCATAATGCTAATTATGATTGTTTTCTTGTTCTAATGCATTACTAGAGATGCAAAGAATAAATATTATTTTTATGAGGTTTGTTAGTTCACACTATATAAAATGATTAAACAGTGTACCACATACGGGTTAGTGGTTATAAAATTTATATCCAGCATCATATGGAAAGATGCTCATCCAGAAAACTACATTATATAAAAAAATTACAACATTTCTACTTTATAACCCCAACCTCCAATAACCAACAGTTTTTAAAATGTGGTCATTCTTGATACTAATTCCTCGGGTAAACATAAAAAATATGAGACAAAGGAAAGGCTAGGGAGAGGGAAACAGAGTGAGGGTCTGTATATGAAAATTAATTTTGTATTATCTGCATTTGTGACTAACCTCTACTGTGCTGAAGTGGAAGGCTTAGGGTTTGTTTTGTTTTTCTTTTTATACTTATGAAGATACAAAATAAACTAAAAACATGTGATTTCTGAGAAAAATGCACTAAAATGAAATATAAAGCTTTTTAAATTTAATGTATTACAAGATTAATTTAAGCTGTTTCTGATTTAACATTAATTTAAAGACAAAAAGTTTGAATTTAGAAAGTATCTAGTAGTCGGAACCATACTGGAGCAATATTCAAATTCAGGAAAAAGATGTGCTTATCCCATGGAAACTTTTGAGGATAGTTTCTGTTGCCGTGGAGACAAGAGAAGTTTATAGCTTTATAACTTTCTAGGTGCGTGCACCTACTGCTTTTAACTTTTTCCAAATAAAATTTTAATCAACTGTTTTCAGTGAAGGGGGCAAGATTAGGTAATTACTCAGGTTTTGATGAAGAGCAATGCACAAACCATACCTGAGTATTTCAGAATGGAAATTAAGAAGAATTCCATCTGGGGAGACTTCTCAGAGTTTTGAGACTGACTTGTTCTATATTTGCAGAGAGAAAGCCTGTCACAGTAGCTGAAAAAGAGAAGAAAATGGGGATTTAATTTATTTTTCTAAAGTTGTTTTTAACATATTTAACAATAACTGTGGACAGAGAAAACATTAAGAACTTTGCATAAAGATACAATAATTAGCTGTTTGCTGAAAGATTCGTTGTCTAGATAACCTCCAAATTAGGTCTTTTCAAAGTGATGTCTTTGTAATTTACTACTAAGCCAAAATCCTTTTTTCTTTGCTTTGTGTAACTCCTATGGCAACAAAATAAAAACACAGGACAGAATGGTTATTGAATTACAAGTTTTATTTCTTTAATTTAAATAAACATTGTATAAAAAGTACATCATTATCTGCTCTAGTCATTATTCATAGTATTCTTGATAAGAGCCTTGAGATAGGAGACTGTGTGATCTGGCAGGGCTCTGTGGCCACAAAAGGATGGTTTTTTTCTCAGCGAAGAACTTTTAGAAACACCCCCCAGCTTCTTCCTCAGTTTTATCATACAGTTTTGTACCTGGACATTGACACGGCACATTCCTTACCTTTTTTGTGCCTTCCCTGTTTTATGGCTGCACCAACAGCGTGCCCTCAGTACAGTACAGAGATATCCGAACTTGTTTTCAGTGACAGGTCTACCCACAGCAACACGTAGTACAGCGCAGGCTCGTTTGTTCTAGTTCCTGAGCATATGTGAAGAGGTATTTTTTTTTTTTGTACAAAAACTGGCTCTCAAAGGAATCCAAACAGAACTGCATAGTCCTAAGGCAATATTCTTTGTTGGCAGTTTCAATGCAAAATTAACCAGCAAAGATGAAAGATTCCAAGACCACAGGAATTCTTCTTCTCATACTCACATACCCTGCTAAGACGACCAAACAAGTCTCAGATATTACACTGGTCTATTGATAATGCATCAACGTCCTTCCCCTCAAATTCCTGTGCCCTGTAAAAATGTAACTGAGTCAAAGATTTTGATTTGATCCCATCCATCCAGGCCATACGTGGGAGGAAACACAGGATCTGGCATCTGTAGAAGACCAGTTGGGTAGAGAGCGCCATGTTCACGGTCCCTGCAAATAGTTTTACACTGTCCTTTCCGTTGGAGAGTTCCCTCATGCTTTCTTCTGTGTTAAGAAAGTCTTTTGGATCATTTTGCCCACAGCAGGCTTAGCTGCAAGAATCCAATGCAATGCATATTATCATTCAAATGCAGAACAGAATTCACCTGAGTCTTTCCTAAATAGCACCTTCAAAACAGGCACCAAATGAATATATATGATGAAAACCTGTGACACTGAAGACACATAAGGTATTAACTGAAATTTAAAAGTACATAGAACAAATACTTCTTTTTATACATACACACATAAAATAGAAAACTGAAAATATAATTCATAGTACTAGGTCATCACAGGTAGTGAAATAAAAAGTGCTACAGAAATGCATTAGATAGTCCTCTGAATACAAAAAAAAAGCGCACTTTTTTAGTCTGCAGTTGCATTGCATTTAACTTATTTTGTTCATTTGGGGAAGAAATACTGCCTTCCTATTTTCCTGAAGTGGTTAAATACGGAAATTAATTTGCTTTTGAACCAGAAGAACTTCCAATGTGTTAACTTATTTTATGGACTGAAATGCAACAGCGTGGAAAAGCTGAATAGGAAAAGTAAAGATGTTGTGACTGGAACAAACTCAGAAATATTCTCCATCACGAGTTATATTTCTGTGCTGTTATTTTATGGGAAGGCATATATACGTAGCAATAAATAACAAGCAGTAAACCCACATTGCACCCTAGGGATTACACACAGGAAAGCAGATCAGGCAAAGCTAACGAGACCTGAAGAAGCTTTCTCCAGCTTGCGGGATCAAGCCTCCAATAACACTGACAGTCAATACAAAAGCTTCAAATGTCTCCAGAACATTGTTATTTCAAAATAACATACTTCATGTAGTAGTCTTCAGAACTGAAATGCCTTTCTTTTCTCCAGGACAAGAATGTAACTTTTTTCAGTGTACAGCATGTTTCTCATGAGTTAGAGATTCCAAAAGACAGTGGATTGGTATCGCTATGATCTTAATTTTCCACAAAAGGAAGAAATATCTCACATTTGACCTTTTTTATGCAGTAAAAAGTCTAGAGCCAAGTTGGAGTAGCGTGACCAAACTTGGACAGCAATAGTTTTCAAGAGGCTCAAAACTGAACCGGTGAAATAGTCCATTTTATTTTAGCTTAGCTGCCCTGATTAAATGGGTTAAAGTCATCAGACCATGACACTGAAAGCTTGTGTTCCAGCTGGTTCCAGCTGTCCGAAACATCAACAAAGCTTTTAGCATCCATTGCTGATGCTTTTAACCTTCAGAACGACCACATATCAAATACAGCACAATTAAACAGAAGTTTCAGGCAAATCATCGATTTCTTCAAACGTATTCAGGGTGGTTTTGCTATTAGTTCTTGAATTATCTTGAACTTTGCTTGGATCTGCAAAAAAATGCATTATAAACAAAACAGGATATGGTAGAAACCATATATGCAAGATCAAAGTTTTGCACATCTATTTTTTTTGTTAAAAACCATGCATTTATTTAAACAGCAAGTTGTCAGTTTACTACCATATCTTACACAGAGAATTTTCTGTCTGCCCCTTTTCATTACTACTGAGCTCATTCTACTAAGCAATATAAATGCTAATTGACTCAAGAACTAACTTCAGAAGGAGTCTCCCAGATCCTCACATGCTCCTATCATCAACTCTGACGCCCGCTGCCAGGACATCTGACACTCAGAGTTAGGTCACTTCTCTATTACACTTCCAGCACTGTCAGCAGATGGGTATCTCAAATTTCCTGGTCAACATTCACAAGGGGCAATTTTTCATCCAGTAGATATCACAAAACATAAACATGAATGTTCTAGGGTAAAAACCAGCAGACTATAGTATTGTCAAGTAGAATCTGTCCAATTTCTTGCCAAATTTTGCAACCCTATATGTAGCTATTTTAGGACTAAATGTACTTTTATGACAACTTTTTCAAAATATTTTCCATCTATTAAAAAGTTCTCTCTCTGCAATTCAAATGTTGTATGAGAATGTAAAACTTAGATCAAACATAACTGCTTAGAGAAAAATAAAGAAAAGCTAAAACCACCACATTTTGGCACCAAGGTGTAACTAATGAGAGTTTGTAACCAACCTTCTCCCCAAATCTTTAAAAATAATTGAACTTCCCTGCCATATTAGCCATGAGCTTTCCTAGCAGTAGAGTGTGGTTGAATATCCAGAATATGAGAGTTTAATTTTTCAAAGGTATAAAACTCTATCAAAGTATTTCTAAGAAAAAAAAACATTTCACAAATACAGTGTTGTAAAATTCTTCAGTACCTGTTGGCCCTGGATCTTCATTAATAAATGAAACATGGGTTTTCCACTCGGTCCATCTCACTTCATTAATCCTGTTTATATTGTATATAAGTTGTGTTATTAGCATGCAGTATCTCCCAGCTACATAGCTGCCTTTCCCCTTTTATTTATTCCATCTTGGGACTGTCATCCTTCACCATCACACCTGCTTTGCTAGTACTAAAAGGCTGCACGACTTTCGCAGTGTCATGTACGATATAAAGACGAGGATAATACTAAAACTACTTTAAAATTTCACACATTATGAGTACAGTCTTGAAACTTGCTGTAAATATTTACGTGTTTTTCATAAAACAGTATAGTAATACATTCTTTAATATGGTAGTCATCAATTAGCAAGCCATTTAAATAGAATTACTTTTACACTAACATTCAAAGGAGATTCTGACAGTGACATTTGCTGCAAGCAGACATGATACTTGTACATTAAAAACATACAAAGTTGAAAATCTGTTTCCTTACCAAAAAATAGTCTACATAAAAAAATCTGTACATTTTTCCTTTTTTTAAACGATTGAACACAACTGAAAAAAAAAACAAATTGGATTTTTGTA